ATGTGGTGGCAGCTGACCCAGGAGACTAACCCAAGGAATGAGTCAGCTACAGTGGATGAATGAACCTAGAAAGCCAGCCCAGTGTCTTCAAGCAGGAGGCTTACTGGTGGAGGGGGTGCCTCCAGGCATTTACTGGCAGAACTAAACTTTGTAACACTTGCCTGAGCACAGCAGAAGTCATGTCAGGAGCCCAGGGGCTGAGGGAGAGGCCTGCCTGTAGGCACAGTCAAGAAAAAAGCTGTCCTGATCAAAGAGCTGTGTGCACAGTTGTTCCTGATCTTGAATTTGTAACCTGTTGCTTTCCTAATAAACCCTGTAATTGTGAATATGGACTATGAGTTTTGTGTAGCTACCCAATTAACTACTGAACCCACAGAGGAGTAGAGGGTACCATGGGAGGGAAAGCTGATGTCAGAATTAGTATAAAGTTTGGCATGAGAGAAGGTATGTAGGGAAGGTATGTCTGATCTCCATCTCACAGCAATCAGCCTTAGGCTCATAGATACTGACTCTCTCTCTTCCCTCGTGAAGTTAAATGAGGTCTGATGATAACCAATGCCATTCTTCTACCCCAAGAACTAGAGAAACAGTTTAAAATATTTTAAAGCTTACCATTACCGTGCTTTACAAAGAAAAGTTGGTTTTAACTCTAACTAAAGTCATCAATCACTATTAATAAAATGATCTATTCTACTTACACAGAAGCTTAATGGAATGACATACCACTATAGTAATCCAGTATTAGCACTCCTATACCAGGATCTTAGGGTAGTTCATCAAAATGGCCACAAATGCACTATTGACTGGTATGTATTTTTGTTTCAAATATGAAAGCAGTAAGAGCTATCATTTAACAAAATAATCTATTTCTCAATAACAGAAAACGATTTGGTAGTCAATATGACAATTTGCAAAAAAAAATCAGTATTTTCAAAAATCTATACCATAATGTGATAAAATATAAAGAAAACATTCTTTGCTAAACCACTTATTTGGCATCATTTTAATCTTTGAAATTCTTCCCCTACTCCAATCATTACAAGGCTTGAGACTTAGTTCTCACATTGTATGCAATAAGGCTATGCTTAAGCAATAGATTTTACCATATATAGCTTCCTCTTCATAGCACTGTGGTTTAAACTCACTCCCTTACTTCCCACTGAGTCATCAAATGGTAAGAACATGCACAGTGCAATGTTCTTCCAAGCAAAAAATGAAAACAAATGCCACTTACATCTGCTCTAAAAATACACTGCTTTCCTCAAAAAATTATCTGGGATTTATAAAGCCCCAATTTGGCTCATTTGATTTGTATTTTTTCCTTAGTAATTTCATCTCATGACATTGAGGTATTCATTAATTTTTGCTTGTTCTGATCTTAGGCTACCACAGTAGATTCTATTTTTTGCAGAAATTTTCAGGTATGTAACACTGTCAATGCTGTAAAAAGATCAATTTAGTTTTGCTTTGTTTAAATTTTGAACGCTCCCAAGTTCAACAGATAAATTAGCATAACCCAGTGTACAACTACATAGGTAAATTACTAATGATACTCTAATTGTTCTAGTTATTATAAGGTATCATATCAGCAGACCTTAAGCAGTCTGCAGTTGACAAAGTCAGTCTTCTGGAAGTCTTCATTTTGTTGGTAAACCCACTCACTACTGATGAAATAATTCAAATTTGATATCAGGATACACTCCAATTCCAGGAACAAACTCCTGTGCTTAACTCTTCAAAGGCACCTAAACATAGTAACTCAAAGATCTCCAGGTTTTTGCCTATTCTGGCCACTTTCATGCACAGCAGGTTTGAACTGCTCTGAGACTAAAGGACATAAATTTCAAGTATTTCTCCTTCTCCTCAAGCCCACCCTAGTGAGATACCAGTGGGACCAACATCCAATACATGACCATAAGAACCCACCTACTAGAGCACCTCTTAGAAAGAAGGCTTAAGAAAATCAACGTCTAACATAGACTAATTTTAAAATCTAAAGTGTGTGTGTGGGGGGGCAAATGACAATCCTTTAGGGTAACAATTATTTTCTTGAAATAATTTAAGTAAATGAAACTATGTATCTTCTTGAACATGCAATTATAAAAGAAACACGACTTTAGGTTCATAAAATTCAAGCAAGATGACTATTCATGTCTAGAAGTATAAGCAATAAGAAATACAGATTCTAATTAGTTCTTAATCCTCTAAATTTTCAGAAATATCATAGCATTCCTGACTGCACATAACCAGAGACATTGCTTTCATTTCTAGCCAATCATATCTATAAAAAATGGAATGTGTTTTAAAAATAGCTAGAAACTTAACACCATATACAAATACACAATTTTATTTGAACTATATTTTTCTCATGTCATAGTAACTGATCTTTTGCCTTAAGAAATCATATTTTAAAATTATGAATTAGACATAAAACTAATCCATGATATATATTCAAAAGGTGTGGTGATGCACTAATGAGCTGGAATGCAAGGTCGGTTTGAACAGCAACGTCGGTGGTTCAAGCTCACCAGCTGCTCCTCGGAAACCCTATATATGGTTGCTATAGGTTGGAACCTACTCAATGGCACTTAACAACATATTTTTCTCATGTCATAGTGATTTATCTTTTGCCTTAAGGAATAAAATTTTAAATTATGAATTAAATATCAAACTAATCTGACATATCTTCCAAAAATTCATTGAAAAACTGAACTAACCTTAGCTAACATAGCAAAAGAGTAATATAGAAATGAGTCATCTTATGATTTAACATTAATAATTTAACAGAGTATCTGAAAATATATTCATACCACAAATGGCAAGTTTATTACTTAGACCCTCCCCATACTCACACATACAAAAATGTCAATTTTTTAAAGCTTTAAATTTATTTAGAGGTTACCCTGAGACTAGTGCAAACCACTTTTTTTTTTTTTTTTAGAAAAACACCTTTAACTGAGTTTTAGAGGTAAAAATAATATACATTTATAGTAAAAAAGCAAACAATATTATTCTCCTCATTTTTTCCTTAATTCTTTACCACTATTATCACAAAGGAGCTCTGGTAGCGTAGTGGTTACAAGTCAGGCTGCCAACCTCAAGGTCAGCAGTTTTAAACTACCAGCAGTTTCACGGGAGAAAGATGAGGCGTTGTGCTCCAGTGAAGATTTACAGCCTTGGAAACCCTGTGCAGGGTCGCTATGAGTCGGAGTCAACTCCAAGGTACTTAAAAACAATAACAACAATTATCACAGGTGGAACCCTGGTGTGGTGCTGTGGCATAATGCACTGGACTGCAAGATCGGTGGTTCAAATTAACTAGCCTTTCCTTGGAACCCCTATACAGGGTGGCTATGAGTCAGAATCAACTCGACAGCACTTTACAACAAAAATAATTCTCACAGGTAACTACTATGAACATTTCCTATGCATTCCTCCAAAGCTTTCAAATACAGATACAAGTCTGTAGATGTATGAATATGTTAATGTAGTATGCATACATATATGGAATCACTCTAAAACTTTTTTTTAAAACTTACTCTACCTGGGACATGTTTCCATAGCAGTGGATCTGGATTCTTTTTAAAAGGATGTCCCATTATCATGATATGATAACACTAATTTTACTCTTATCTATGTGTAACTTGGAGTCCTGGTGTGGCGCTGTGGGGTTAATGCACCAGACTGCAAAGCCATTTGCAGTTCAAGTTCACCAGCTGCTTCTCAGACACTCTATACAGGGTCGCTATGGGTAGGAACCGACTCGATAGCACTTAACAACATAACAAGACATGTAACTTAGTTCCCATGAAGCTAGTAAAATTACTTCTTTGGGGGGAGTTAACAATCTGTAACACAGACAATCAAGGGCAGTAATATGGAAGCGGTGGTGGTGTGCCGTGGAGTCACTAGGTGTTTTTTCTACCATCAACAAACCAAAAGGTTTATTTTAAAATTCAAGTAAAATCTGTTTTAATTCATATTATCACATTTATGGAAGGAAAAAAGTCACAAAATGTTGCAACTCCAAACTGGTTAGAAATCACTGTAATGCAGGAGAAAATGGTCAGTACATAAGTTATCCAAAACAAGTAACATATCCATCTTCTGATCTGACTCTGCTGCCCAAAATACATTTTTAAAAATACAGGAATGCGTTTAAAAGAAGCAACTTGCAACTAATTTCTAAATCAGTGCTCTGAATCAAATTTTACATTTACATTTTAAGATCTCAAAGAGTACCATCTGTATTCTGCACCTAGGGAAAAACGAGGACGAAAACCAAAATGATTAGCTCCCTCCTCCCTACCCCCAGGTTAGTGGACTTAGCCCTTGGACCTAGCGGGGTCCTAGATCTTCCAAGATACTCCTAGGGTGCAAGGTGGTCGGTCTCTGACGGAAGGCACCTGGGTCAAATTACTAATATACAGAACAAAAAGTCAATGATGTGCAGCCGATCTGGTATCCTCCTCCCTCAAAATTAATATCTCACTGCAAAAGGGTGAAGCCCATGGCTTATATGACAACACTTCCTTTTTCTTCTTCTTTAAACCCGTTTCCTGCCTCCGTTTGAGTATCTTGAAGCATACAGGAAGAGGAAGGCCTTTTGGTCTTCCTCCTATTTTTACATACTGGGGACCCCAGGGATGAGCCCATCTCGAACCATACAAAAATAGTATTTTACCCCTCTACGTATTTGGGGGAAATTGCCCCCGCGCGTACACCGAGCCGGCCTCCGCCGGGGGAGCAGGTGGGATCCCGGGCCACCGCCGGTCTCACCCGCCGTCCCAACACGCAGGGCTGCCAGGGTGGCGGGCTCCGAGAAGACGAGGGTCCAGCCCACTTGCTCTTAAGTCGGTGGGGGCGGGAAGCGCTGGCCCGCGCCCCTTGGACCCAGCGGGCCGAGACCCGAAGCGAAGCCCGGGTGCGAAGGGCCTGCGCTCCCTCTGCACATCCCTCCAAGGCCTGTGCCCGTCGCGGCCTCCCCATCGGGCTCTTACCCCAGTGCCGTTGTCGCACACCACCACCTTCCTGCCTTGGCTGTCCATCGTCCGCCTGGAGGAGAGCCGTCGTCGCCACACAACCTACAGCCTCCACTGCCGCCCGGCCTTTCCTCTTCCTCTTCCTCCTCCTCCCTCTTCGGGGCCCCTCCTTCGGCCCAACTTTCTTCTCTCAACCGGAAGTTGCTGCCCCGCCCCGCCCGCCATTTATCAGAAGGCCGCTTGGAGGAGGTGGAGATGGTAGGTAAGAGGCCGCGACTGGCAGCAATAAGCTCCAATAAGAAACGGAGGGGCGCCTAAGCCCCGCCCGCGGCCCGGGGCTCCTGCGCCGCAGTCCTGGGCGCTGCCCACAACGGTGCTTCCTCGTCTGAGTCCTCTTCCCGGCGGTTCGCGGGGGCCTTAATGGCGGCTGACGAAGCGTCTCAAGAGCCAAGGATGCCGCTACACGACCCAGAAACCGGAAGCAGGTGAAGGACACCAGATCTGCCACCAAGTGGCCGTAGAATGTGGAGGAGAAGCAAACTGGGAGGGCGGAAGCAAACCCGGAGTCCTATATTTGAACAAGACTTGATGTGTCTTTGCTTCTAGGCCTTTTCATCAGAGAGAGCTGGGATAGAAATAAAGCGCGCACACACACATATTTGTTAGAAATCATGACTTTATGGTGATACCTCAATTTCTAGTCCAATCGTCCTTTGGCCAAGTTGCTTCAGAGTAAAGAGAATGAGAGTGGGTGCTTACATTTCCTGCTCACCTTTTTCCTCTTCCAACAGCTCCCATTATGCTTCACACCTCTGGCTTTGGAATCAGAGGACCCCTGTTTGAAATCTCCTTTCGATCAAATTTTATGATTTGTGCATACCCTTATTTGTTCATGGAGATAATCTTTATAATACTTATATGACTTGTAATGGAGACAAAAATCTGTGTACAGAGTAAGCATTCCTTCCATGGTAACCCACAGCCACCAAGTTGATTTCAACTCAGCAACCATATAGGATAGAGAAGAACTGCTCCATAGGACTTCCAGATGAGACTGTAAAACCTACACTGTGCCACAAGCACTGTGGTCGTTCCTTACTGATAATTCCAATTGTGTAGTTCTTTCTATAATGCCACCACTGTTTTTCTCTCTCTCTCTTTTTAATCAACTGGAAACTTAGTCTCAAAGGCCAAGCTTGTCACATCAAAATGCCCTTAAATCTTGTAGTAACAGTCAGAACCAGCTTGATGGCATGTAACAACAATCTACAGATGGGTACACAGGTAGGAGAACAAGACTATACCCGCAACCATATATAGTTTTGGCAAAGGATGCTTCTAGATGTATACATGTTTATGTCATAAACATAGCCATGCATGGTGTGACGCTGTGGGTAATGCACTGGACTGCAAGGTCGGTTTGAACTGCATGGTCAGTGGTTCAAGCTCACCAGCCGCTCCTTGGAAACCCTATATAGGGTTGCTATGAGTCAGAATCAACTCAACATTACTTAACAACAACAACAATATAGTAAGCAGGGAAAAGTTATGAAAACTTAGCCATAACCAAATACCTTATAAGAATGAGCTACTGGGCTTAGCAGTTAAGGATCAGTTTCAGGGGACAGCTAAGTCAACTAGAATAACATAGTTCATAAGACAATGTTCTACCCCCTACTGTGATGAATAGCAGCTGGGGTCTTAACTAGCAAATAGCCAGCTAATTTGAAACTATTGGTTTCTCCCAATTGGGGGTGGAGGTGGGAGGAGGAATGAAGAAAATCAAACACTCAGGGAAACAATTAGTCCAAAAGACTAATGTGACTCACACTCTCCACTAGCCTGAGACCAGAAGACCAAGATGGAGACGAGCTACCACTACCAACTGCTCTGATCAGGACCACAGAAGGTTCTGGACAGAGCAAGAACAAAATAAAGATCAAAATTCATAATCATAAAAAGGACCAGACTTACTGGTCTGATAGGACTGGGTGAACCTCCAAGACTGCGACCCTTTAAAATACCCTTCAAACTTGGACTGAACCCAACCGTTGGTTGCCTTGAAGCCAAACAGCAGACAGGTCTGTAAGGGGATCAGTAACACTCATGAGGAAAGTATTCCTCAGAATAATCAATTAAATCAGATCGAAAGGGCAGCATTTGCCAAAAAACAAAGCTCTGAAGATAGCAAGGGTAGAAAGAAAGACAAATCGAAATGAGAGGAAACAGTTAAGAGTGCTATCACATTAAAGGAATTGCAAGGAATGTTCTGAAACAAAATATGTATTTTTAAATATCCTCAACGTGTTCTTTACCCCCTTTCTTGGTTACTACTTTACCATGGCTATATGAATAACCTGATTACATGGGACAAGTCTTTATTGAATGAGTACAGTAAACTTTAGAAAAATGCCATCGTTTTAGAGATGTAGAAACTAGAAGTGTGCCTTCTGCATAACTGTACAAAATGTGACAACAACTAGAATAGAATTCGGATCCTGAACTCCTAGTCTTTATTCTTTCTAAAATACCATGTTGCCTCCCAGTTTTCCTTTGTTGTTTTATTTATTGTTGTTCTTGGGTGCTGCCAAGTTGATTGTGACTCGTAGTGACATTATATGACGGAGTAGAACTGCTGCTTAGGGTTTCCTACGCTGTAAGGAGCTCTGGTAGCATAGTGGTTACGAATCGGGCTGCTAATCTCAGGGTCAGCAGTTCGAAACTACCAGCTACTCCGCGGGAGAAAGATGAGGCTTTCTGCTCCCATAAAGAGTTACAGCCCTGGAAACCCTGTACAGGGTCACTTTAAGTCATAACCGACTCCACAGCACACAACAACAGTCTTTACAGGAGCAAATTGGCATGTTTCTCTCTCACAGAGCCACAGGGTGGGTTTGAAGCATCAAACTTTTGGTTAGCAGCTGAGCACTTAACCATTGTGTCACCAGAACTCCTTATTCTTTTATTGGACCAAGGATTTTTTAACCTTTTAAAAGTTATTTTGTTGTTGTGAAGTGCCATAACAAGCCTGTAATAGGGTTTCCAAGGAGCAGCTAGTGGGTTTGAACTGCCGACCTTGTGGTTTGAAGTCCAGTGCTGATCCTACAGTACCACACCGGAATTCATAGACTCCTTTATTAAAATGTATCTTATATGAAACCTCTACATATCAAAGAGATGAAAGCGAAGGTTGCCGTATTTGTAGTTGGAAGTTTGAGTGGTAGAAGAGTGTAGGAGGCAACAGGGGAATTTGTTCTCCCTTCTTTCTTCCACAACTTTTGAGGACTTCTTTCTTTGATCAACATTCTTTGGCAACTTTTGAGGTACTTTAGCCTGCTGAACAGTTTCAAAGCACTGAATTACTTCATAAATTTCTTTGGTAGAGTCCTTATCTTGCTTTTATGGCCCCAGTGCCTAACACAAAGCACAAAGCGATTTACCTAGAAGTACATTTAAATTGGTCTCTCCAAATTGAACTATCTTTTGTGGTCTTTTACTTTTCCTCCTTATGGAATTAAATGGATTAGTAATTTTTACTTTTTAAGAAATGTTGTTTTTTCCGCTGATTATAAAAAGATTTCACACAGATAGTAGAAAATGTCAGCAAATACTTATTGAGTTGTTTTTCTTCTTCAAGCCAGTTCCGACTCTTTGCAACCTTGTGTAGGGTCTCCAGGGAGTGAGTGGTGAGTTTGAATTACCGACCTTGTGGTTCACACTCCAGTGCTGATCCTACAGTGTCACGCCAGGAGACCTGTTTATTGATTGTTATTGTTAGGTGCCATTGAGTCGGTACCGACTCATAGCGACCTTATGCACAGCAGAATGAAACACTGCCCAATCCTGGGCCAATCTCACTACTCTTGCCACGCTTGAGTCCATCGATGCTGCCACTTAGCCAATCCATCTCTCTGGGGGTCTTCCTCTTTTTCTCTGACCCTCCACTTTACCAAACATGATATCCTTCTCCAGCAAATGTTCCCTCCTGGCAATATGTCCAAAGTATGAGAGACGTAGTTTGGCCATCTTGGCCTCCAGGGAGCACTCTGGCTGTACTTCTTCCAAAACGGATCTATTGGTTCTTTTGGCAGTCCATGGCACTTTCGATATTCTCCAACACCATAACTCAAAAGCATCAATTCTTCTGTGGTCTTCCTTATTCACTGTCCAGCTTTCGCTTGTATATGAGGTTATTGAAAATACCAAGTCTTGGGTCAGGCACATCTTAGTCCTCAAGCTGACATCTTTGTTCTTCAACATTTTAAAAAGGTCTTGTGCAGCAGATTTGCCTAATGCAATACGTCATTTGATTTCTTGACTGTTGCTTCCATGAGTATTGATAATTGATCCAAGAAGAATGAAGTCCTTGACAACGTCAATCTTTTCTCCGTTGATAAGAATGTTGTTTATTGGTCCAATGGTGAGGATTTTTGTTTTCTTTACACTGAGATGTAATCCATACTGAAGGCTGTGCGATTTGGTCTTCATCAGTAAATATTTTAAGTCTTCTTCACTTTCAGCAAGCAAGGTTGTATCATCTGCATATCACAGGTTGTTACATGAGTCTTCCTCCAATCCTGATGCCATGTTTTTCTTCATATAACCCAGTTTCTCAGATTATTTGCTCAGCATATATGTTGAATAAGTATGGTGAAAGAATACAACCTTGTTGCACACCTTTCTTAATTTTAAACCATTCAGTGTACTCCTGTTCTGTTCGAACAACTGCCTCTTGGTCCAGGTACAGCACAATTAAGTGTTCCAGAATACTCATACTTCGCAATGTTGTCCATAGCTTGTTATGATCCACATAATTGAAAGCCTTTGCTTAGTCAATAAAGCACAAGTAAACATCTCTCTGATAGTCTCTCCTTTCAGCCAAGATCCATTGGACATCAGCAATGATAACCCTCATTCCACAGCCTCTTCTGAATCTGGCTGGAACCTCTGGAAGTTCTCTGTCAATGTATGCTTGCAACTGTTTCTGTATTACCTTTAGTAAAACTTTATTTGCACGGGATATCAAAGAGTTTATCCGATGATTTCCACATTCCATTGGGTCACCTCTTTGGAATGGGCACAAAAATGGATCTCTTCCAATCAGTCAGCCAGATAGTTGTCTTCCAAATTTCTTGGCAGAGATAAGTAGGTGCCTCCTGTACTGCCTCACTTTCTTGAAAGATTTCAAGTCGTATTCCATCCATTCATTGTGCCTTGTTCTTTGCCAATTCCTTCAAT